TAATTTGCGACAGACCTAGCTTTGGATACAGGTGCGGAAGCGGGCGCCCACGCACAGTCCCGCAGGGAAGCGTTGCGGGGCCACGGCGACACGGGGGGCCCGGCCAAGCTCCTGCATGCCCCGTCCCCGGCGCGCAGCCCCCGGCCTCGCCAGCGCCCCCAGCCGAGGGCTGCGCTTGGTTCCGCTGAGGAGCCTGCGTGGAAACACCGTCCTCTCCCCGGCCCGCCGGTCGCTGTCTTTGTGAGCCCAGGCCGCCGTAGCAAAATTCTGTAGGCTGGGGGGCTTCGGCTGCAACGATTCTTTTGCCCTCAGCCCCGGAGGCTGGAAGCGCAGGATCAGGGTGACACCGTGGTCTGGTGTTTGTGAGAACGCTCTTTGTGGCTTCGAGCTCCGGGTCTTCTCTGCTGAGTGCGTGTGTGCACGCGTGCGCGGGCATGAGTGAGAGAGAGGGAGAAAGAGAGAGATCCTCCTCTTTACTAGGCCGTGGACCTGTTAGGCTGCAGGCCTGCCCTTACGGCCTCATTTACCTCTAATTGCCTCCTAAAGACGCTGCGGGAGAGGGCTGCGGCGTGAACTTGGGGGGACGCAGTGCAGCCCCCCGTATTTGCACGAGGGCTCACTCTTCGTGCTGCGCCTCCTGTGGGTTTGGTCAAACGTGCAATGACCTGAGTCCACCATTACTGTGTCACACGGGGCACTTTGCTGCCCTGAGCACGCCCCGCGCTCTGCCGGCCGCCCCACCCTGCGCCGCGGGGGACCGCTGACCTCGCGCTGTCCCCGCCGCGGTGCCTCTCCCGGGGTGCCGGAGAGCGGGCACCGTGCAGGCTCCGGCCTTCCACGATCGGCTCGCTTCAAGCGGCCGGAGGCGCTGCATGGCTAGGGGGCCTTTCGTTTCCTTTAGGCGCCAAGTGGGTGTCCACCCTCTGCCGGACCCGCGGGGTGTTTACCGGCCACCTATGCGGGCATCTCGGCGGCATCTGCGTTGCGGGGATTACGGGTGCCGCCGTGGCACCGGGCGTGGGCAGGGCTTGTGCGGGTGCGCGTCCCCGGGTTCCCGGGGCAGAGGCCGGGCCCGTGTCTCTTGCACCTCCGCGGGTCCGGAGAGCACCACTCTCAGCGCGCCCGGGCGGGATGGAAGGGGCCTGCCGCGCGGCTCAGGACGGGCCGGCGGTCAAGCAGACGGCTGGCCAGGCGCCAGCGCGGGGTGAGCCTGGGCAGGGGTCGCATCCTCTCTGTGCCTCAGCCTCCTCCTTCGTAAAACTGGTCTGGTAGCAGAAATGAACGTGCAGATGCATGACGTGATGCCTCAAAGGGATACCGTAGTGCCTGACAGACAGGAAGCAGTCACGCTGTGTGTTTATAAACACAGCGCATCCAGTCGGAGCGCCTCGCTGACTCACCCAAGGGCTGACCGGGAAGCCACACCTCCCGGGAGTCACCGACAGGAGTGAATGGGAGTCAACAGGCCACGTTGGCCCGTGCCTGCCCCACCCAGGCTGTGCGGCTGTGTCTGGGGGGGCGATGGGTGTGTTGAGGGGAAGCCCCGCAGGCTTTGGTGCCGTTCGGAGCCGGGCGGGGCGCGCTCTCGGGAGGGAAGGCGAAGGCCGGCAGTGGCCAGGCGTTGCTGTGGCTGAGAAGCCCTGGAAGGCTGGAGCGAGCACAGGTGGGGGCCGCCCACCCCGCCCGAGTTCCTGCCTCCGCAGGTGCGTGCCCGCAAGTCCCCGGCCACACCGGGCTGCTGTGTCGGGGGCGCACGCCGAGCCCCTCCGCCAGGCCTCCTGCCCCAGAGGCTCGGACGCGGGGCAGCCGAGGGCCTCCGGGAAGCGGGGGCACTTTTCAGCGTGCCGGGCACCAGGCTGGGCAGTCGGGGGAGTCAGACAAGCGGTGAGGACGGGGCTGGGCAGCGGGCGGGGGGCAGACGGGGGTGATGCCCAGCCGGCGTTCGGAGAACAGGGGAGGTTCGGAGGAGGTCGTGGCGGGCAAGGGGGCCCCTGACCGGCTGGCACCTGCTCTCCCATCCTTTACTTTCTTTGAAGGGGTGAACGTGGGAGGAGAGGCACCCACGGAAGTCCACGCCCTGCACCCCAGGGGCAGGGTGGTTCTGGGCCAGGAGACGCGAGCGCCTTCTCTCAGTGGGCGGGCGGCCCCCCCCACGCACCGTCCCCACCCCCAGGCTTCCCCGCCCGCACGCCGCACCCGTCCCCACGCCCGGCGCTGAGCGCTGCCCCAGCCCGGGCTGAATGAGCCACTCGCCTCGGAAACATTTTGAATTTTGCTTAGATTGAATAATACTTGTGATTGACCAGCTGTGCTTAAAATAGTTTTTTGTTTCACATGACTTGACATCCACATGAGGAAAACAAAGGCTGTTTTTTTCCTTTTATTGTGCATTGTGATCCTTTTAGCAAATTCCTGCCTCTAGTTCGCAGCTGTCTCGTGTTTACCAAGCCATGTTCGGCCCATCCTGTGTGTAGGAAGGTCTGCCATGGGCTTAGACAATAGACACTCTTTCTTGGTAAAATATGACCTATTGTTGTCAGTGTTGGAGTCACGATTCGGAGAGCACCTCACAGGGGGTCTGCTCCGAGAATTCAGGAGAGAAACCCCCAGCCGGCCGGGGGGTGAGGGGCCGTGTGGACACGCGCCAAGGGCAGTGGGAAGCCACTCAGTCTCCTGGGCAAGTGGAAACTGAAAAAGGAAGCAAGAGGTCAAGCCAGCGGCTCGGGCTCAGGGTCACGTCTTCGGAGAAGCTGTAAACAGGAAAAGGGGCCCAGCCGGGCGCCTGGGGGAGGGGGCGCGGGGAGGGGCTCGGGCAGGACCCGCGGTGCAGAGAGACAGGCAGCGGTCGCAGCGGTGGCCTTCAGGGACCCCACGCTGAAGGGGCGAGCCCGAGGCATCTGCCCTTCCGAAACACATCTGGGGACAATGTTCAGTCCTGGACCGCACTGCCCGATGGAGGATAAAGGCTTTTGGAGACTTTGCTTGCTTCTTCCAGAGATTACGGCCATCAGCTTGACCCGCCTCAAAAACTGAGTTTCTCAATGCAATTCTCTGCCCAACAACATTCCTCCTGTCTTTGGTCCGTGGCAGTTCGCGTCCAAGTCCTTCATCCCGACCCAGAATAATGACTTGCACTTTCCAAGCAGGCACTAGGTCTCGGGGATGTCAAGTGAGTTCTCACTCAGCACAAGGGCCGCAGGGCAGCCGCCGGCGCGTGGGCGAGGGTTTACGGGGGGTGGGGGGGAGGAGAACCGTCAGTCGCAAGGGGACGTGCGTCTCCGAAATCGTGCGCCACGGCTGTGCGAGCGTTCGAACCCGTGCCTGCTGGGTCCCGGGACGCGATCTGTTTACCTAGAGACACGCTCCCGGGGCCTCCGTTCCCCGGATGACAGCCCGCCTCCCCGGCTCTCGGACGGGGCAGCCGGTCCCCAGCCGCTGGCCCCGGGGGCCGCCCGCAGCCCCGAGGGTCTTCTGAAGCCATCGAAGCCGCACGATTCAGGCGGAGGGTGGCACCCTTCTCAGGGCCAGCGCCCGTTGTTCACCAGAACACGCTGCCACGCAGACGCTTTACAACGTCGCCCCCCCCATGTTTCAAAAACAACAAAGCACCGTAATCGTCCCTCTGCGCACGGAGCCTTGAGAGATGGGACTGCAAGCAAAGTATTAAGGATTCAAACGGAAAAAAGATGCAGGGAAATAGAAAGGAAAATAAAACAAAATCGGGGCCCATGAGCCCAGGATCCAGAAAGCTCTCGTGGGCGTTTAAAAGAGTAACAGACATAAGAATAAATCCAAGGTGGAGAGCGATGGAATCCACGAAGTGCGTTCAGGCAGGTGAGGACCGTTGATTCCGGTCCCCCCGGCACCCCCAGTAACAGGGTGACCCCCGAGTCCTCTGAGCGTTCTTCGTTGTAAGGTCATGTAATGAGGCTTGTTTAAATAATCTGGAAGGTGCCAGCCAATTCAAGATTTACCTGAACTTGGGTCACAGGGTTGTTTTCTAACAACAGAAAATGCACTCACTTGAGACCCAGCTGCTCAGACAGCGTCAGACCTGACGAGAACCGGGCGGGGGGGCGGGGGGCGCGGGGAGGGGGTCTCGGGGAGTACCCTGCGCCACAAAGCAGACGGGGACTGGGTTCCAGCCATGCTTTTACTGCCCCCCCCCCCAGGCCAGCAGCCTGAGAAGGGGGCGGGTGAAAACCCCACACCCACCTTCCCTTGAGCTTTCAGAAGCCCGTTGTGGGGGGGGAAGCGTGGGAATTTGGGAGCAGCTGTTTCTCGTGGGGGGCGGGGCGGACAGGGAGTCCCTTGCTCCCTCTGTCCCAGTGTCACCTCCTCTCCTGCCGGGCCCTGTGGTGTCTGGCCAGGGAGGCTGTGTGCTCTCTGGGCAGGGGGAGAGGTGGCAACCATTTACTCTCAGGTGCCCATGTTAGGGGAGGTAAGGTCTTGGATTGGCCATCGGGCTGCAAGCTGCTCAAGCTGTTTGGCCTCGTTGAATTTTCTTGTCTCAGTTTCCCCCTCCCACGCGCCCGGGAGTTTTCCTGGCCTCTTACTCCCCCCTCACTGGGCGGAGCCTGGCCGCCGGGTCCCCGCCTGGATGCCGCCCTCTGGCCCGGCTGCGGTTTCCTGCCTGGAGACCAGTTCGATCCCCTCCATAGCTAGTCTAACAGAAACTCGCTGCCAGGGCCGCTAAGGCTTTGTCCCCCTCGGCTGGGGGCTCGGCGGGGGGGGCGCCTTCCTTGGCGGTCCTCGGAGGGACGGAGGGAAGGGTGCGTCTGCCGCAGTTTGGAGATTAGACATCAACGCCACTGGCAATATGGGGCAGGGGTCACCCTCAGACGCAAGCCCGGGACTCTGGCTTAGACCTCTCGAGGCCCCTGAGTGCCCTGAGGCCCGCGGTCCGTCCGCAGCCACGCGGCCCCCGCCTGCTGCCCTCCCCCGGCCCGGGGCGGGCAGGAGCGAGCGGGCGCCCCACGGCCTGCCTTCTCTCGTTGCAGGCTGCCCGGCCATGACCACGGCGTGGTACCGGCCCACGTGGGACCTGGCCCTGGACCCGCTGGTGTCGTGCAAGCTGTGCCTCGGGGAGTACCCGCTCGAGCAGATGACCACCCTCGCCCAGTGCCGCTGCGTCTTCTGCACTCTGGTGGGTGCTTCTGGAGGGAACTTCTGTCCGAAAAGGATGTCACGGCGAGCCTTGGCGTTGGGGTTTACAGACACCCAGCCAGCCTGTGACCCCGCTTTTGCAGGCGGCAGGTCTCCCTTCCCAGGCATTCCCGTGCCAATTGGAGGGACTCCCTGGGTCCCCCCCCCCGTCCCCCGCAGGGAGAATTCCCCAGCAGGTGCCCCTGGTGCAGAGGCCGTGGGGTCAGCAGACTCCCGGAGCTGGTGGCGGATGCAGCCAAGCTGCCGTGGCCCGCGGCCCGCTTCCTGGGGAGGGACACCTCACCACGCCTCGCGTTAGGGGTAACAGCCACACGTGGGGGGGTTGTGACCACGCTAACCCAGTGTGGGCACGCGGGTGAACACCGAGCTGCTCCGCCAGCCCCCCCAGCTTCAGGCCAACCTCGAATGTGCGCACTTTGAAGCCACAGGTAGGTCTCCTTACGACCCAGCCTTATTTGGGGCCGAATGCCCTGCTCTTAGCAATTACAGGGACTGTCTCTCTCAGGCCCAACTCCCACCCAACGCCTGACCCATCAGAAAGGAAGGAGGAGGGGGTTGGGTCTACTCTCAGTTCAGTTTATTTACTTTTTCTTCCCATTCAAGGAATACAAAAAAAAAAATGTCCAAAAAAGAAACAGCTGCTTTCTTTCGACTTAAGCAAACCAAGAGTCTCCCCTCAATCTCCCTGCTGTGAACCGGGGCCGCCTGCGTGGGCGCACCCACGTGTGCGTATCTCCTGTCTTCCCGCCCGCCCGCCTGCGGCGCCCGCTCTTCACTCCCCCGCCCCCCGCCCCGTATTGCAGAGCTTGTGGCCCAGTCTCAGGGTCCCCTCGGGACGGCGGCTCATTCTGCCAGCGTCTCTCGGTGTAACAAACAAGGAGGCGGGGCTTTGAGGACATCCACGTCTCCATCCTCTGCCTGGGCCCTGCCGGGCCTCCTGCGGGGCAGAATCCTGGACCCCAAGCCCCTGGTCTCTTGAGAGTCTGTCAGTGACGCTCACTGGACTGGATCTCCGCGTCACAGCCCAAAAAGCCTTCCTCCGCAGCACGGGGGGGGGGGGGGGGGGGGGAAGGGGCTGCCCCCTCGAGGACGGACCGGATGTGCTGGACAGGCTGGGAGCTGAGGAAGACCGGGCGGAGAGAGAGCCCCCGGGGGCAGGTGGAGAGGCGGAGCCGCAGCCTTTGCCTCAGGAAGGGGCTCCTTTCCCTTTCTAGAGGGTGAGTGGCCGGCGGAGCAGGTCCGGGAATGACTGCCGGCTTCGGCTTCGGCTGCCTCCTGCAGGGGAGGCCAGTCCCCTGTCCCGGTGGCCCCGCCCCTGTCTGCTGCCTGCAGCCACCCACCTCGGTTCCCCGGCTTTGTCTTCTTCCCGTTGAGTCGTCCACTCACCCAGCCTTTTCACGAGGGCGTTCACTTTTTGTTGCTGTTTTGGTTTTCTGTTTCTCGAGAATAGGAGTGCAATAACTAAGCCACTGTAAGTCATGTCAAATGCATAATTTAACCCGGGGCTGTGAAGAGAGAAAGAGAGTGCTGTTTTCTCAGAGGAGGGCTGCGGGGAGGCAGCAGGGCCGCCGGCTGGCTGTTTTTAAGACCCTGCATGAGCAGTTACAATGTGGCAGGCGGGTGGCTGGCTCCCTGCTGCTCTGGGCGGGGGAGGGAGGCAGGCACCTGTGCGCAGGCCTGGGGGCGGGGGCGTGCCCTCCAGGGCTCCTGCATTGCAGTCGGATAATTCTCTCTTCAGGGCCCTTAGGAAAGGGCTTACCAAAGACGCGGGAAGGCCGAGGGCTGGGGTGGGGCATTCCCACGCCACCCCCTCGGTGGAGGGCGGAGGGTTTTCTGTGTCCGCCCCCCGCCCCCAGCCCACCCTCCCTGGGAAGGACCCCTGGGACTCACGCTCTCACCCCCCCCCCGCACTGCCCCCCGCCGCCCCCGTTCTGTGCACTGGCCTCCGCCTCCCCCAGCCGGCCTCCGTGCTCCCTTCCGGGAGGCCCCGCAGCCGCGAGGGCCTGGGACCCGGCCCGGGTGTTGGCAAGATGCCCAAACAGGCGCGCGTATCTTCCCAAGCCCCTTCTGATTCTTGAGACGTCAAACGAACAGCCTCTCGGTTTGTCCGTTGGGCGGAGTGAGGGCAGCGCTCCTGAGCCTCTGGCTCTGTTTGGGGGGCAAAGGGGTCACGTGGCGCTTTGACATTTGATGGCCGACACCTACGACGGATGGGATGGTGGGGAGATCCCGCGCGTCCACTTTCACGGAAGTTTCTCTGTTAGCCCACTTTTTGGTGCTCCTTTCAAAACACCTTTCTGCTTTACGATTGGAAAAGGGCGCTCGCGAGTCCTGGCCCCCCTGCTATCTGGGAGGGGGCTGGGCTTGCTCTTCCTGTGTTGCAACAAGTGGATCCTCCCAGAATGGAGCTGTTTCGTAAAGGGAGTCGGCGCCGGCCAGCTGGCCTTCGGGCGCCTGCAGGCCGAGGCGCTGAGCGCTCGGTCGATGCCCCGGGGGCGTGTCTCAGGCCAGCTGTAATTGCCTGGCAGAAGGAAGCCCGCCGGGGCGCACCGCCCTGCGGGGCGCGGCGGGAGGCGCCAGCACATGCCCGGTCTCCCGAGCCTGTGGCCTCCCGAGGCCCAGCGCAGGCGAGCTTAATTATAGAAAGTAGGGCAATGGCCTTGCGGCTAAGCTGTTTGTTTTTATTTTTCTTTCCATGACTGTAAGAAACAGGTCTCACAGACAGACAGACCGCAGAGCGCGTGGGTCACAGGCACGGAGTCGGTGCCGCGTCCTGAGCGTCGCTGTAGGTGGGGTGGTCAGACATCCCTTACTTGTCATGGAGAGAGCTGTGGCCCAAACTCATTAAGGAGCCACCGTGGCCTCTGCCCAGAAGGACCCGGGCTCCACGAGCCACTGAGCTCCAAAGACCACGGCCTCCTCCTTTCCTCGCGTTTCACGAGGCCATAAACAGGACATTCCTGTGACCTCCCGGCAGCAAACGGACCCCTGGAGCCGGGGCTCGGCACTGTCTCCCCACACAGGTGGCCCGGTGCCGCCAGGGGGGGCACAGGCCCCCGGAGGCCCTGCGGGGGCCCCCTCCTGCCCCCTTCTGTCCTGAGACCTGCGGTTGGTGCTGGTGCGTTTGCCCCGGCACCGCTGCCTCCCGGCCCCGCCTCGCTCCCCCGGGGACGGGGGCTCCCCACGATTCTCGGGTTGGCGAAACGCAGGTGATCCCAGGACAGTCTAAGTTCAGGGCCTCTGGCCGGGCAACGGAATCGACTGCCACGCGGGGGCCTCGGTCGGGCAGGCCGCCACGGCCCCCGGCGCGCGACGTCACCGCGTTCTGCTCAGGGCTCCTGAGAGACGGTCTGGAGCCCTCCCTCTGAGGGCTTCCTCGGTCCCCACCCATTTTTTAAAGAAATTGCCCTCTTGGGTCTTTCCTGAGGCACATTTTTTTTGTTTAGTCTGATAAGATGGTGAGAATTACTGCATTACTTGTTTAAATAAAATGCATAGTTTATTATTCATATATTGGACCAATACGACCGTATTTTGCCGTATATAATGTGCACTCACATTTTGGGCCCAAACTTTCAGGAAAAAAATCTTCTGTTTTAGTTTTTTTAACCTAATTTGTTACTTATTTATAGTTAGGTACGTGTTTTTAATATTATAAAGGAATTTTAGCAGTTCTTTTTTAACCTAATATGGTACAAGAAATTGTACGGAACAAATAATTACAAAAACACAAGAATAGAGACAAGGTATTTCAGGTCCTGCCCAGGTATAGTGTGCATCCTTATTATTCCCTCAAAAATTTAGGTAACAAGGAGCATTGTACGTGGCAAAATACGGGGCACTTCCCGCGCAGTCTCCCAGGCTGTCTCTCTGGCACAGGATTCCTCCACCTCCGCTGTGGGTGGGGCAGCCACCCAACCTGCAGGGGCGGGGCGGGCAGGGGGTGAGGGGGAGAGAGTGACGGGCTGGCTCTGACCGCCCCGCCGGCTCCTCCTGGGGGCCGCGTGCAGCACTGTCCCGGGCGGTTCCTGTGACGCGCTGAAGACTTAGAGGCCTTGGAAACAGCGCGCTGGGCTTTTCCTGGGGCATCGCCCTCGCCGGATTCCAGGTGTGACGGCGTCGGTGTGACAAACGCAGGCCTGGGCCGGGGGCCCTGGTCAGACGCGGGGGGCGGTGCCGGGAGGCCGATGCTTCTCGCTGCTGTCCTTCCGCGTCGTGGCCCCGGGGTCCTGTGCCCCTGCGCTCTCAGAGTGTGTGTCTCGGCACCTGTGGGCAGCGAGCCCACCTGGGGGCTGCCGGGTCTCCCTTCCAATGGGTACTTCTGGTGTGGACACTTCCCAGGGCGCCCCGGGCTCTGAGACCAGCAGGCTGTGGCGCAAGAGGGTTGCGCATGCGGCCTCATGGTCTCTGCTAGGGAATCACCCCCCGCCTGGGCTCCCTGACTGACCTCGGACACACACAGCGCGCGAGGCGGAGAGGCGTCCTGGACGGCGAGGGCCAGGGCAGGAGGCCGGCAGCTGGCCCCAGCGGGCTGGGCTCCCGGGGCGTGAGCCCGGGCCGCGGCAGGGCTGGGTCCTCGCTCTCTGGCTGAGCTGGGGACTCTGTTTTCACATGCGACGACGGAGGGGTCCCCCCGTCCCTGCCACAGTGGACACTAGCGTGCACTTGAGCAGGGTGACCCCAAGCCCTTCCTCCCCACCTGTCCCCTTGCGGGCAGCCCTCCGGGCCTTGTCCCTGCGGGGCTGTGAGCAGGGACCCCGTCCTTGTGCCCGACTCCTGTGCACCAGCGTGTGGCCCCGGCTCAGAGGCCACCCCGTCAGTACGGGTGGGTGAACAAAACCTCTGAAGGGGTGGCAGCTTCGGGCTACACAGCGAAAATACAAACAATGTGCTTGAGGTGTTTTTTGGTTTTGTTTTTGTTTTCTTATAATGCATCACTGTTTGTTCAGCCTCAAGGAAGTGCAGACGTTTACAGCTGCTTCTCTGTTTTCTCCTTCCAGTGCCTGAAACAGTACGTGGAGCTCTTGATCAAAGAAGGACTGGAAACGGCCATCAGCTGCCCGGATGCGGCCTGTCCCAAGCAGGGCCACCTGCAGGAGAACGAGGCACGTGGGCTCCCTTTCGGCCGAGCTGCGCTGTGTCCCAGCCCTCAGCTTGTTATACTCTTGCTTTCTATTTTTCCTCCCTTAGATCGAGTGCATGGTTGCCGCTGAAATTATGCAAAGATATAAAAAGCTACAATTTGAAAGAGGTAGGTGCCCCGGCGTGGTAGCCGGTTACGAGTCCGGTGTTGGAGTCCGGGCAGCCCGCGGGGGTGTGTTCGGTGGCTGGGAGGGAGCGTCCTTTGGCTTCAACAGGCTGCATTCTCGGAAGAGCGCCGCGGCAGCGGCCTCCGCCGGGGGTCCGAGGGGAGGCAGGGACGACTCCTGAAGCTGTTTACAGGGGAGGCGGCCTCACGGGATGGGGGGCGGGTAGAGGGCCGGCCCTCCCTGGGCGCTCGTCCCCAGCCCTGCTGTCTGAGGGCTAAATTCTGAGACCTGCATGGACGTGAGAGACGCTGAGGCCTGGCAGCAGGCCCGGGGCCGGCAGAGGGGAGGAGAGGCGCTCACCCAGCCACCCCCACGCAGAGCGTGACCGTGACCTTTCCCTCGCACGCAAGGGCCAGCCCCGGCAGGCCTGGGCTCCGGGGCTGCGTGTCTCATCTCTGTGAGCTTACAGCGGCCCTTTGAGGCCGTCCTTATCCTCACACCGGCACCTGGGAGGCTGACTGATCACGCTGATCTCCATCTCTAGTGGGCGGCGGGGCGGGGCGGCTCCATCCCTCGCCCCGTGCCCTGCCCGGCCCTCTGGGCCGGAGCCCCGCCTGCCCAGGCCTGGGGTTCCCCAGCGCCCTGCGCGGAGCAGGCGTGAAATGCGCGTGAGGTAGCCGTGACATTGTTGACAACGTTTCCAAGTGGACGTGGCAAAGCCTGACCGTGTTTGCAGGGCCGGGCAGCGCAGGTCTTTCCCTTCGCCCTCTGACCTCGGCCGGCCGCACGCCGTGATGTTTGCAGGAGCCCGCGGGTTCCCTTTGGCCTCACTTACATATTTAAAACCCGGGCCTTGGGCTCCTCTGAAGGACTCACTCATGTAGGCAAAACGTCATTGTGAACAGACCAGATTCTGAAAGTCCCAGCTCAGCTTGCAGTTGCTGAAGTCTGTCCCCCGGACCTCCGGTGGGGGCGGGGGGTGCGGCCTCAGAGCCTGCCTGCATCACCGCTCCTGAGGTCCAGCCATGGGGCTGGTTCACACGGAAACCGCCCCGTCGGGGGGACGAGGAGCAGACAGAGCCCGGGGTCAGGGCCTCCTGCTTTGCTGAACGTGGAAAGAGAGAGAGAGAGAGAGAGAGAATATGTGTGTGTTGTTGTTTTAAAGAAATACTAAGGATATTTCCTCTTGAGAATTACTTCCCAGAAAAAAGTTAGATGTGTGGCCAACTGAAGAAAACAAAAAACGCTTCTGATGGCCTTAAAATTTCTTTTCAAGAGCTTCTTTACCTAACTGGCATCTGTCATTTGGCTTGGACCGTGTAGAACTTAGATCTAAGACCCTGTGACACACACCAGCCTGCACGCACAGCTATAAAACCGGTTAATTTGGGTTTCTGAACTTTGAGGCTCTTCTGAAAACATGTTCCCGAGAGGCTCTTGACAGAAAGTGGCAGCTATTTGGGTTATAAGAAAATGAACTTTCAGTGACATTGAATTTAATTTAAAAATGCAGCTGGGTAAATGTTCTGGCCTAATCATTATAACTGTTATTTCTTCAGTACCTTGGCTTTGTCAAAGTGTTTTTTTTTCCTTTTGCATAAAAATGAAGCCAGCTTGACTTAGGCTGAAAAATATGCCTGTCAAACCTCTTGCTTTAAAATGGTTTGCCACATCAGAAGCCGAAACAAAGGGGCTCAGACTTAATGTGACTAAAGACCTATCTAAAGGAAATGCTCCAGCGTTAGAGCTAAAGTCCAGCTGTTGTGCACGGCCAGTCCTCGAACAGGCTTTGAGATGCGACCGGAAAACACATTTCGACTTGCTCCCTCCCTTTGAAAGGCCCTGGAAGGAAACTCAGACAGTTCCAGGGTTTTCGGGACACATTTCTTTCTCCAGATATCCTGCGGTGAGTTTAAGTTGCCAGCTCTGCCTCCACGTGGCCTAGAACTCTAGCCCGAGCTGCTGTGAAGGCCTCCATTTGAACTGCGAGTCCTGGGCTGTCCCCGCCGCCCCCGCCGGGCGTCTGGCGGGCAGGAGCCGCGAGGGACGTTTTCCGTTTGGAGCCTCTGCCCAGCCAGCGGGAGGACCCCGGAGGCTGGCGGGGGAGGGCTTTCGATGGGGACCCTTGTCACCACCTGTTGGGCGCCCGCCTGTGGGCGCCCCGCTCCCGTGTCCCCGGTTGCAGGCGTCACGCCGTGCCCGCCCCTCCAGGGGCGCCTGGTGCCCAGAGAGGCCGGCGCGTCCCCGGGACCGCACGCCGCGGGCAGCCCAGCCCCCGTCGGCGCGGCTGAGCCAGGCCTTGGCGTGGGTTTGTGCTTTTGAAGGACGGCGCCGCTCACAGATGAAGTACCTGTGCAGGCCAACCAGGGGCAGGGGCTCCCGGCAGCCACATGGCCTCCCCACAGGACGGGCCCTGCGGCCGCCGCGGTGCCACCGGCCCACCGGCGCGGCCCCCGTGTGGCCACAGTCCCCCTGGCCCGCGCAGGGGTGCGGGCGCGTGCCCGCCACAGCGTGCTCCTCAAGGGAAAGCCGTGCTTAAAAGGGAAAAACGCCTTTAAAGAAAGTCGTGGGTTTTTATATAGGTGAAGCTTTTAGGAGCCTGCTATATAATTAATACAGCTTTGGGGACTGGGATTGGCTGCTTCTGCTGGGCCAGAACATGGACTGCTTGCCTGGTTTGAAAATGCACTGTGTACACATATTTCTATATGAACACTAGATCTATTATACTATGATGTATAGGACACATCTAAAGCCTGTTAGATACACATGTGCTAGATACATGTAGATACGTGTGCACAGACAGGGTGGGGCAAAAGCAGGTTTACAGTTGTGAGTACAGGAAACAGTGTATTCTTGTGTTGTTATTTATTAATCGTAGTGTTTTTCATACAACAACTGTAAACCTACCTTTGCCCCACCTGGAGAGAAACCCTCTCGGGTGTTGCCCAGGGTGGATTTCCGTTTTTTTTTTTCCGCAGAGGCGTTATTTTTTAAAGATTTTATTTATTTATTTTTAGAGATGGGAAGGGAGGGAGAAAGTGAGGGAAACATCCCCGTGTGGTGGCCTCTCGCACGCCCCCTGCTGGGGACCTGGCTTGCAGCCCAGGCCTGGGCCCTGACTGGGAACGGAACCCGCGACGCTTTGGTTTGCAGGCTGGCGCTCAACCACGGAGCCACTCCAGCCGGGGCTGGATTTCCTTGGGGGCCTCGTGCCCCCAGCTGGTGCAGCTCCGCGGTGGGGAAGCTGGTGCAGAATCCACTGGAAGTGCAGGGGAAAGAGGGGGCCCGGGGCCGTGTCATGGGGGTCTGCGTGCCCTGACACCCGCTTACAGTTGTCGGAGTGGACAGAGTGTTTGCCCTTCATCTCCCACGCAGGGAGTCTCTCCCGTGGGACAGGCAGCACCGTGCCACAGCTCCACGAGGACAGACATCGTTGCCATGGAAACCGTAACTGGGTCCCCTCGGCCCTGAATGCCATAACGTACCTGGGCCTCTCACGGTAGCGGGCAACAGCTACGCTTTTGTGCAAGGAGGAAAGACACGCGCGTGAGGAGACAGCACATGGCTTGGGAGCGAGGGCCCTGCCTGAGGTCACAGCTCCCCGCAGCGACAGGAAGGGCGGTGGGAACCGGAGGGTCTCAGCGGGGGCTCCCGGGAGACCGGCCCTGTTCTCTCCATGTGCCGCGTGGCGTCGGGCTCACGGTCCCCGCGGCCTGCAGGGCCCTTCCTGGGCGTGTGCGCCAAGGGGTCCTGTCGGGCAGAGCAGGGCATGCAGGGGGCTGTGCGGGACGTGCTCGAGGTGAGTCGGGGAAGGGGGCAGGGCTGCTAGGTGCTCCGCAGGCCGCGGCCCCCAAGGAGGACGCCGGCGGCCGCCCCGACACTGAGGCGCGCCCGGCACGCCCATGGCGCCAGCGCCCCGCCCGGGCAGCCCCCCACCCCCCGCCTGCCCCCAGCTCCGGCCGGCGGCCGGCAGCTGCCCGGGCTGCTGTCCTGGAGGCAGAGGCTGCATCTCCCCATAAAGCCACCTCCTCGGCTCTGACGGCCGGAGCCACTGTCGGAGAGGCCAGTGTTGAAACCGCGAACCAGTAGCAGCTCGGTTTTGCTCATTCACTCGCGAGGGGGGCCTCGTGGTTCTGCGGCCCCACCACGGAGGTCAGTGCGGGAGTCATGCACTTCCCTGAATTCCAGAGTTTCTATATTATCGAATTGTTCTGATCTTCGGCCCGGCCTACCTATCTCATAGTTTTATGCCATTGATTAATATGCTTTAATGAAAAAGGCAGAGCGGGGAGTTAGATAAGGTCGGGAGCTGGCCAGCCATGACCAGTGGGCCCGGTGTTGTCAATAAAGCTTTATTGGAACACCCGCTTGGGGTCCACATGGCTGCCTTCCTGCTACAGCAGCAGCGCGCAGCAGTGGGAGCGAGTCTGCAAGGCCCTCCCAGGCCGGGACACTCCCCGCCGGCCCCTCTGTGGCAAAGGTTTGCTGGCGCCCGGAGCAGACGCCGCAGTTGTGTTCAAGCCTCTTCCTGGACGGCCGGCCCTGGCTGCCCACTTACCTGTGGCGAGCACGCGTGTCCTGCGGCAGCCTGCTGGGGGGCGGGGGCCGCCGCCAGCCCCGCCTTCGCGGGTCCCCCGTGAGGACAAATCCCACTTTGGACGTGGGTGAGCGGAACCCGCCCTGGCTGCCCTTGGGTTTGCTGGCCCGTAAGCACGGCCTTTCATGGCGCCCAAGTCTCCCCCACGAAATTCAGTCGCCTCGGGTGGCTCCCTGAGAGCGGCCCTGCTGGGGAGCTCAGAGAGCCGGGCCGACCGCAGCCTGGGAAAGCGGCGGCGAGCTTCGGCGGGGCACCACATTCCGCGGTCTCCTGCCGCCCCCCCGCCGGCCCCCACTGGCCCTCACTGAGAACTCGGAGTCACACAGCAAAAGGGTTAAATGAAATGCAAAACCAGGCGCGCGGGGGCGGGCAGCCGGGGACCCATTGTGTGAAGGAATGCGAGTTCTGGGCAATTCTGGGCCAGGAGACGGAGACGCAGCAGCATCCGGCATCCTGTTTTCCAAACCGACTTCCTGACTCGTTCCCTGAAACCTGGCTCCGTAGCAGCTTGACCTCCACGGGACGGGAGACCCGGTGACCCCACAGAGCAGGCAGCTCTGTGGCCTGGGCGCAAACGGGGCAGGAGGCAGCCTCAGGAGCGTGAGCCATCTGGCGACTGTCCCCGGGCCCGCTGCCTGCCTTGCTCTGGGCCGGGCTGCGAGGCCACCGCCCGAACGCACTGGCCTGCCCCAGAAACCCTGGGGCCACGGGCTCTCAGAGGGTTGGCAGGGCCGCCCTGGGCACGCGGGGCGCAGGCAGCAGCCTCCCCAGGGGACCCCGGGGCGTCTGGAGCCGGCTCGGAGGCAGGGATGCCTGGCGTGAGGAGAGAGCCCGACGGCACCGGCGTCGTCGCGACTGCTGACCGGACGCCCTCCTCCGAGGCCTGACCTGTCCCTCTCGTCCCTGTGCTAGAGGTGCTCCTGGACCCCTGTCGGACCTGGTGCCCGGCGTCCACCTGCCAGGCCGTGTGCCAGCTCCAGGAGATGGGGCTGCAGACGCCCCAGTTGGTGCAGTGCGAAGCCTGCGACACGGAGTTCTGCTCTGCCTGCAAAGCCAGCTGGCACCCCGGCCAGGGCTGCCCCGAGGCCGTGCCGATCACCTTCCTCCCCGGGGACACCAGGTAGGCCCGGGGCCGGGGCGTGGGGGCGGGCTTGGAGGAGGCGCGAGAGGGGAAGGGGGCGCCGTGCTCGAGGCTGCGGGGCGGGCGTGGCCGCACCGGGTCCGCCCCTCTGCTGGGGAGCATGCACGCCTGGGTTGGTTTATTGTTTCTTTTCGAGACCTGATTGTGGGCCGGGGCTGGGCGGGCCCTGGAAACACCAAGGGGCCTGGGAACCAAGCCACCCTCTGCCCGCCCAGAAGGGCAGACGCATGGACGGTCAGTTCCTGGGCGGCTCTGCGTCCTGAGATTCTCCCAGAACTCCCCTGTGGAAGGTGCCCCGAAATGGGGTGCGGAAGCAGGATATCGTGGGGGGCGGTGGTTCTAAGTACCAGCAGGACCCCCGACGACACGTTCCCGGGGGCTGAGTCTCCTGAAAGGCCGAGCCCGTCAGGAGAATGTGGCCAATCGCCACTGCGTTCCCGCCCTCCCGGCCCCTCCCGGCCCCTCCCGGCCCCTCGGCTGGTGCCCCAGTGGGCGCTGCGCGCCATCGCTGTACCTTGAAGTTTGGTAGGTGGAACCATGGGAAAGTGGTCACATTCACCTTTTATTGTCCTAGAAAGCTGCAGTGGCCTGTGGTTCCATTAGAGTTGGCCTTGCACTACCAAGACCATGTTTCTGACAGACGGGCCCCCGCCGCCCAGCCCAAGGTGCGGTTGCCGGCTGGCCCCCCCACCCCCCGCCCCCCTGTGCGGCCACCCCCAGTGCCCCACTGCCCTCTGGGCGTCCCCGGGACACATCCCTGCTCTGTCCCGGACGCGCGTGGGTGCCTGTCCCTGCCATGCCCGGCTCCGCCCCCTCCTGTCCCTGGGGCCCCTTGTCACCGTGGAGGCCTGGCTCACGTCCCCACCTTAGTTCAGCTGCTGGGTCCCCGGGGCAGGGCCGCCCCCGCCCCCGTGTCCCCTTCGGGGAGGGCTGTGTGGACGGCGGCCCCAGCCGCGGTGAGTTCAGCCTCTCTGTTTACGCGGCCGCTTCCCCCGGAGGCCGCCACGCCGCGGTTGGACCTTCACCGCCCCAGCTTGTGGCCGGGGGAGGGTCCCTACCCTGGGCTGCTGCGGTCCTCAGCGCCGCCGCCCGCGTCCCCAGTCCCCAGGCCCGCTGCCAGGTGTCATTGCTGACTGGCAGCGCGCTCAGCTCTTTTCCTGTGACCGACTCTGTTTTTACAAAGCTCAGTCGCCCCCTAACCCACGGCGCCGAGCAGCACCTGGGCATCCTCGCTCACGCACGTCACGCCCGCGTCGTAAAGACGCTGGCACACGCGGCCGCTGATAGGCGCCTCTCCGCCTTCGTAATACGAGTTTATAGTATTCACATTGCCGTGGTAATTCAAGGGCCAGAAAGTGCTGGGGAACCACTGTTCACACCGGCTAAATTTCCGGGCGGGCCGGAAGGTGCCAGAACCCCCTGAGTGTAACTGTTTCTCTTTGAAACCACCTCCTGGGGCGGCGCTCTCCCCGACGTAGCTCTGTGCCCGGCGTTTCCTTCGGACGTGCTCACGCGTCCCATGAGGAAACTGGTCCCTCGGCTTTAAGGTCGCACCTGCAGACCAAAGCGGTGGGATCGGGCCTGAGCGCTGCCTCGCCCGCCGGGTTTGGCGCCGGCGGGCTTCACGGGAATCCCGTTCACCACAGGCGGCTGCGGCGAGCGTGTGCGGAGCGGGTGTGGGCCGTGGGCCGTGTGCGCTCGTCAGCCGTCTTAGGCGTGAGCGGCACCGGGTGGACAGCACCCCGTGGCCACACCTGAATACCCGTGTGGCCTTTCCAGTAGCAGCCCAGCATGTTGCTGCCGTGTGCCGGGCGCCTCGCACGCCCCTGCCACTGCGCCCTACGCTGGTCGCCTGTGGCTTTCCTCCTGCCCCCACGCGTGAGGCGACTGAAGCGCAGAGAGGCGGTTACAAAGCCACGCAGCGGGTTCGTAGACGCGCCAGCGCTGGGCCCCGGCCGGGGCCGTCCTGCTGGCCCTGCGAGCCCAGCCAGGCCCCTGCAGGACGGGCCGCAGGATGGGCAGGGGGCGCGGACGAGGCGGTCCTGTGTTCCAGCGCCGTCTTTTCTTCCCCCAGAACGTGAGAAAGGGCATGAAAAAGGCCCACCCTTTGGAAAGTATAAAAAATACATGAACCAGGACAGAAAATCTGACCATCAGCCCACTGCTCAGATACCGCCATTCTAAGCCTTTGTCGTGTTTTCTTTTATTCTCTGTACTTAGAGCTAAACACAGACGTCTGCGAATGTTGCCCTTCTCCCCCCAAACCGAAGCGGCCCCCCACGGTGTTTCGGTGACTGCTTTCTGGAGTGTCTGTGCTTTTGGTGCGGCTTCAGCTCACTGAGTAACGAGCGGCCCGGGTCGCTCCAGGGGAGCCCGTGCCACAGGCCGGGGGGCTCCGCGGGCCGTGGGGGGGCTCGTGGGCGGGGCCTGACGGAGCCTGTCCCCGCAGCTCGGCCTTCCGCCCGGAGGAGGACGACGCGCCCATCAAACGCTGCCCCAAGTGCAAGGTCTACATAGAGCGAGACGAAGGCTGTGCCCAGATGATGTGCAAGAACTGCAGACACGCCTTCTGCTGGTACTGCCTCGAGTCCCTGGACGTGAGTGCCGCCCACGCCCGGCGTCGGCTCGGCGGGGGCTCGGGCCGGCCTGTGCGAAGGAGCGGGGGCGCCCTGGGGCCTGCCGGGCTGTGCGTGTGCCATGCACGTTCGCGCACACACATGCACAGCCTGTATATATTGCACACGCACCCATGTAGCCCACGTGCGTGTGGTCGCGCTGTGTGCCACACCTATGGGGGCGTATACGTTTGCATTCCATTGTATTCCAATAGTTCTTTCTTTGTGTGTGGGAAACCCTCTGAGCGCACTTCTGGAGGGAGAAGACAGGTCCTGGTTCAACGCGTGCCTGTCTCGCTCAGGAGGCGTGTCCCGGGCTCCCGGGGAGGCCGGCGAAGCCCGGCCGGGGAAGCGGGGAGCCCCGGGCGCGGAGCCCCTAACCCTGGGGACGGCGGGCCCGGGGAGCGTGCCGCCGGCCGGTGGGCGTGGGGCCCGGGCAGCCCTGGCCGGGGGGGGGGCACCGGCCAGGGCTGTTTGGGGCGGGGTGACGGCGGACACACTGCTCGCTCACCAGGCGAGGAGAGCAGAGCGGGACGTGAGGAGGCGGGACGCACCGCGTGCGGGGCCCCAGCTCGGCCAGAACGCGCACGTGTGGCCGTGACGAGGGTCTGCGTGCGGCGCCCAAAGGCTTGGCCTCTCGCAGGGGGACCCTGCTTCCCCGGCCCCGGCCCCACCCCGGGCTGGATCGGGCGGCTCAGGGAGGCTCGGGGATCGGCATTTTCCATGAACTGCCAGGTGACTCGCGTGTGGCCCGTGTGGCCACGTCTGCGAGAGGAGGTCCCAAAAGACTTCTCCGGGTCGTGCAGCAGGACTCGGTGTGTGCTTCAGGAAGCAGGTTTAAGACCTGCGGAAGAGCCTGCGGGGCAGGACTTCGCGACGGGCAGCCCGGGGAAGGAGCGATACGTAGAGGGGCCGGGTTCAGCGGCGCCCCGCAGGGCCGGGTCCTAGTGAAGTGGCTGGTGTCGGTGTGGTGTCAGTGAGGGCAGCCTGACAGTCCCGGGGCGTCGCGGGAAGCCCAGGTGGCCGGAGCACCTGAGGGGGCAGTGGCTGGTGCTGTTTCTCCAAGAGTCTGTGGGGGCTACTGCCCACTGCTGGACAGTCACAGGAACTGCGGAGACTAGTTCCCTGCTGGTTCTCGGAGCGAACGCGTGGGTGGTCTGAGCTGAGAGGTCGGCACCAGGCTGGAGGGCGGCCAGCGAGGAAGGCAACCTCGCCTCCAGAGAAGAGCCTGCCTGGATGAGAAGAAGGCACAAAGGCCGAGGGACCCTGGACGGAGGACAGCGCCCAGCCAGGGCCAGGAGCAGCCTGAGGGTGGGGGGGCCCCTATTTGACCAGCACCCTGCATCACACGATTCTCTCCTTCCTCCAAAACGGGGAAAGCCACGGAGCCCGGGGCTGTGGCCTGGGGCGGCCGGAGTCCGCGGGGTGGTGTCTGCTCGCCCTCCACTGTCACATGCGGCCTCCCGCGTCCCCGTTGACTTTGGGAGCGTGGCCCAGGGCTCAGGCACTGACCGGCCCCCGCTCTCCCTCTTTCTTCCCAGGACGACTTCCTCCTGATCCACTACGACAAGGGACCCTGCCGGAACAAGCTGGGCCATTCCAGGGCTTCGGTCATCTGGCATCGGACACAGGTGGGGCCGAGCCCCCGGGACTTGGATCTCGGGAAGAGCGAGTGTGGGTGTGAGCGAGTGTGTGTATGTGCACACGCGTGCATGAGGGCGGCTTCCGGACGAGGTGCCAGTTGGGTGCAGAGTCTGTTCTGTAGAGACACAGAGCTAGGACGTGCGGTTCCTGGTCTCAGGTGAGGTCTGGCAGCGGAGGCCCGAGTGGGGCCCACGGGGGACGTGCGCCTCGGGCCAGAGAGGACACGCGCCCACCCGTGGTCTCAGCCGCGGTCCGCGGTCTTCTGGTTGGTCCTCGCACAGCCATTGGGGAGGGAACCCCTGAAGAGGCCCCGAGGCGAGCGGCTTCGTCTCGGAGGGAAGAGGTCCCTGCGCAGCCCTGCCCGGGCGGCAGGTTCCCCAGGGCCTGCCGTTCACACACGGGCGTACTGTCCACACACCCGTGTTCCCCGCGGGGAGCCTGGCGCTGGCCGCTCTTGGAGCCCACACTCGGCTCCGGGGCCAAGACCATACACCGGCCACAGCCACACCGTGCGGACTCGGCCGTGCAGGGGCGTGAGGCGGGCGGCTGTGGTCAGAAGGCCCGTGGGAGCGGGTGCCCGCGGCAGAGTGTGGAGTGGGGAGCTGGCTGTGCAGGCGTGAGGACAGTCCAGGCAGAGCGGACGGGGACGGGTTGTGGGTCGAATGGTTCTGTGGAGGCCCCCGGCTCAGAACAGGAGCGAGGCGGAAAGGGTCCGAGGGGCCTTGGAGGCCGGCCCCGGGGGCTTGCGGCTGCGGCGAGACGCCCGCAGTTCAGTCTGGGGGACGCCCCGGGTTGGGGGAGAGGCTGGAGGGGCTCACCCCCGTCGCCGCACTCGGGGCCCTGAGCAGGCCGGCCACCCCGACTGGGGAGGGGAGGGAGCCGGGTCCCAAGGCAGGAGCGGGAGGAAGGGCTCTGCCCCTGCTGCGTGGGCGTGGCCCTGACGCTTCTCACTAATGCGTGCGCGCACGCTCACGCTCACACTCGCACACACGCACACACGCACGTGCGGTCTGCCCAGGAGGTACCCAGCCACGCAATATGAAAAATAGAGACATTTGTTGAAGAAGATAGAGGATGCGAGAAACGCCCCGAAGGCCACGGCGCCTCAGCCCCTACCGGGACTGCCCCGCCCCGGCCTTTCTCCATCACCAGCCACCTCCCTGCGAAAGCCTCCCCCCTGCCGAGCGCCCCCCTCGCCCGCAGCCCCCGGGCGGGGCTTGTTCAGTGCATTGTTATCGTGGATTCGATGGCGGTCTCTTTCCACCTGCCTGGCTGCTCCTTGGAGACCGAGACCATACGTGACCCTGTATGAGCAGCACCCAGTACGGCGTCTAGCTCAGGGGGCCCTGCTGCGTTCCTGGGACATGGAAACGGACGGGTGTCTGGGTGCTCAGATGGGAAGAGGGAGGGAAAGAGAAGTGAAAGAAGGAACAGAAGAGAAGGAGAAGTGGGAGGGGGAGCAGGGAAGGAACTAGGGGTGATGGACGGATGGACGGATGGACGGGTGGGGTGGCGGCTGTGGGGTGTACGCCGCAGCTGCGGCGCCTGCGGCCCGGCCGCCTGACGCTCTGCCCCCGTGTCCCCCCCCGGCAGGTCGTGGGCATTTTTGCCGGGTTCGGGCTCCTGCTGCTCGTGGCCTCGCCCTTCCTGCTCCTGGCCACCCCGTTTGTGCTCTGCTGCAAGTGCAAGCGCAGTAAGGGGGACGACGACCCCTTACCCACCTAGAGGAGGACGGGATGCGACACAACGGCCTCCGGGAAGCGCGGCGCCCCCCCACCGCACCCCCCCCCCCGAAACATCTTTCTTGCCTTATGTGCCCCATTGAGCTTCACAGCGTCACGCGGGACACCGTGGTTTCAGGGACGGACGTCGGAGCGTTGGCCGAGGCCCCAGTGCCGCCAGGAGGCAGGCGGGCGGGCCGGCGGGCGGAGGGCCCGTCTGGGCAGAGCCTGTCCCCGTGGCCGCGACGCGGGAGGTGCTGCGGGAAGCACCCCGGGCGGGGCCGCCTTCTCCCTGAGCCCACGGCTGCCTGCGAGGAGTGGCCGGCCGGCCGGCGCCTGAGAGACCGCCCCGGGCCAGTGCCGTCCGTCCGTGCCGACCTTGGCCTCCAGGTGGCGCCGCGTTGCCGAGAGGAATCTCGGAAGGGTGGCCGCGGGCCTCCGACAGACCCGGATGACCCCGACTTCAGAACAGCGCTCCGTTCAAGACACCGTTTTTATAGCTAATGGCATGTAGTGAAATCCTCTGTAGAAGGCACTGCCTTTTTCCCAGCGGAGCAGAGGGAAACCCACAAGGTGCGCCTACGCCGTCCTCTGCCTTCCTCGCCGTGTGAGACGTGCGCTGTCGGGAGCCCTGGCGCCACGACCTTGGGAGAGCCCGGCGCCTCGCGGTCCCCCGGGAAGCTGTGCCGTGTTCCTTGGAAAACACAGCTGTGTCGGAAGGGCCCTCACCATCACAGATTTGCCTTTCGTTCCTTCTCTTTTTGCTGAGCCAGTTCAGCTCCTAGGCTTGTTTCTTCTCTCCCAGGTCTCAGCAGATATTTTAATGTCTTCAGGGACCCGACGTTTGCTTGGAGGTGGCTTTGCGGGGAGTCACTGTGGGTTGGCGCTTCCTCTGTGTCCCCTAGTAGGCAGTAGGTAGGGAGCAGCGCCCCTGGTCCCCAGAGGGGACCCCAGGGGTGGGGAGGCGCCTCCTGGCTTTTCACAGTTTTTTTACCACCTGGTTACTTTCTTGAGCTCCCAGAGCTGACGCCAACCATTTGCCCCACCCAAAATCCTTCCGTCCACGGGGTTTGATGGGGGGGGGGTTTACCACTCTGTCTTCTAGAGGCTGTGTGACGTCCCCAGGCAGTGGCGTGTGTGGATCGACGAGACGCGTCACCCCATCGGTTAACTTCGAAAAGTGGGGAATGTCTATTCTTCACAGAGAGTTGGTGTGACTGTGGCTTTTCAAGTCTCACGAGCTTGTAAAGAGGAAGCTGATTGCATCAGACTTGGGACTTCCAAACACAGTGGGCAGACAGCTGCTGGCGATTTATCACAGCGGGGCTCGTGAAAACGTGAAGTGTTCCACCGAGGACCACACGGAAACCAAATCCGACCTCGGCGCCTGCCACTTGCTGGGAGCCTGGGTATAAATGGGGGCGGGGGCGGGGCTTTATCATCTCAGGTCTGGCTCGCCTCCCCGTGCGGGAATCTCTCCTTCTGTTCTCAGTTAGATGGGTCAGAGGACCACCTCACTCTTCGCCTCTGGGGTTGATTTCCTTGTGAAACAGAAGCCATTCCGGAAACCAGCCGGGTCAGCGTCGCTCCTTGTCGCTGTGGTTCACACAGTCAGTGTGGGCAGAAGCAGCGCCCGAGCCTGGCCGCGGGGCTGGGCCTGCGCCGCGAGCCTCTGTGCCTGGCGGTGGCGCGTTAGGGCTTGGGAGCCGAGTGGCTTTTCTCAGAGGGAAACACCTCCATGAGGCCCGAAGATGCCGCTGGCGGCCTCATTGAGGGGTCTGCGACTGCCTCCCTCCAGCCACCGCCCTGTAACGCGTGTGTGGAAGACAGCATGTTCGTGCCCTGTGTCCAGCGGCCCCCGCGAGGGGAGCTGCACCCCATCCCGGGCCCTCCCGCCTGTCCTGGCTGCCGCCCGCTGCTCACTGCAGACTGCATGCGGCGGCCGCCCTCCTCCGTCCGCTGAGATGGGGGGCCAAGCCCTGGTTGCTCAGGTCCTGGAGGGTCAGGCTGTCCGTCTGTCCTGAGGTGTCCGTGGCCACGCGCACCTGTGCCCTCACCGCCGGCGCATGTCACTGGCACGCGGCTCCACCCCGTTTGGGACCACAGGGCCTGTGGGGCCCGCGGGAGCCACGTGGGCCCCTGCCTGCTCCGAGCGTTGGCACCAAGCCAGCCTGAGATTGCTTCAGTGGTAACAAAACTGAAACCGGCCGTTCCCTAGGAGGACCCCAGCGGGTGGCCCCGCGGTCCTCCCCGAACCCTGCGTCTCCCCTCCTCCGATGTCTGTCAGTGAGGGACGCCCTCCCTGTTGTCCACGGGGACCCGGTATCGACCAAGCGCGACGTAAAATGTGGACAGACGTGGGGCCGGCCTGCATTCGGATTTTAACCTCGCAGTCAGCCCTGGGGAGCCCTGGGGGGTGCTCCAGTTCGCGGGTGGACCCCTCCCTGCTCGCGTGACAATGACACCTCCTTCACAGCCGGCGTTCACGCGGACCCTCTGGAAGCACGTGCATGTTGGTTCCATCAGAGGCCACGGAACCCAGGGGACACGGAAGAAGAGCCAGACTCGCCAGGGCTGGCGATAGAGGCCGCGCAGGCCTGAGGGTTGCCCGAGCCCCGCTGGAAACCCGCCGCCGTGTGAGGGCGGATGGGCGTGGCCGATCTGTCCGGCTGGCTCTGTTGCGTGTCCTGCAGCTCGGAACCGAGCTTTGTCATCATCACTGGAGGCCAGTGCCTCAGAGAAGGGGTCCCTGTGGGTGTCACACAGCGGTGACTGAGTTAGGGTCTGAGCGCAGACAAGACCGTCGAGGCACGACCTCGCCCGTGGCCGCCCGCCCTCGGCCCCCAAGAGCGGCGGCCGGAACCCCGACTCGCCGTGTCTCTGTTGAGAACAAACTCCCCACCCACGGGGTGGGTGCTCCCGAAAGCTGGCAGCGGCCGGCTCCAGCTCAAGCCCCGGGCCCCCGGGAAAGAGGTTCTCAGGCGAGAAGCACTTCAAGACAAGTCTCTCTTTTTTTCACCTACATGACAAAAGTTAAAAAGTTTTTCACAAACCCGATCAGGCAGCTTCCCCGTGGCAGCCTCCGGCAGAGGAGGGGGTGGGGAAGACAGGGTGAGCACTTTGCCTACTTCTCAGATGCTCCTTGGTGAACAAACGCCCCTTGTATATAATGTGCACACCTCGCAGCGAATGCACCGAGGGAAAACATTTTGCATGTGCAGAGCTCCAGAGAGGGCTCACTAAAACAATACCAAAGCTTGTTTATTCCTTGTCATGGCCCCGAGCCCCACTGGAACGGAAGTGAAGAGCTGGCGGCCAGTGTCGCCCCCAAACGCCCCATGACACGCCGGGGCCTGCGCGCGCCTAGACCTGCAGATGCGGTGGAACCGGGAGGGCGGCCGCTGGGGATCCGGCCCACGGTCCCTGTCACCCTCAGGCTGCGCCGTCCCGGCTCCCACGGAGCCTTTGGGGGTGTGCCCCCCCCGCCGCCACCGACGGTCCCCTCCTTTGCTCGTTTCACCTTGGGGGCATATTACCCTTGTATAAAACATGCATGAGTGGGTCATGCACTTGTACACGTGACATGTTTGACGAGTGGTGTAAACACGGGAGCATTAGGCCTGTGTTTGGGAAGCGTCGACGCTTCGTGCCACGGACACTGTGATGTGCAGCCGAGCCGCCCCGATGCCTTTCACGTTGTGTTTTGTACTTTGCAACCCTACGGAACAGTGTGGTTTGTAATTTCAATACATATTTTAAATGTATTGTGTCTTCTGTAGTTTGCCCCTGCCCCCTTTGGAAGGGATCTCTTTTTAAAGATATTTTGGCTGGAATACAGGTTACTTTTGTAAATCCTGCCTGGCTGCATCTTTTGTTCGGGTGGGGAGACCGCGGGGTGATGGGGGAGGGGGGGGAAAGGGAAACTGGGCGCGGCCGGGTGGGGCGGCCGGGAGGGGTCCCCCCTGCTGGGAAGCAGCTTCCGCGTCCTGGGTTCCCGCCCCTCGGGGTGCTCGCCCACGGAGCCGGGGCCCAGGAAGTCCGCACCCCGCGCCGGCCCTGTCTTCGCCTCGCGGGGCCAGCCTCAGACCGCACCTCCGCATCCGGAGCTCTGCGTCCCCTGCGAGCCCATGCGCTCGGACGCCTCTCCCAGTCCACGGGGGTTCGCTGTTCATGAAAACCCGTGGGCACTCTGTTTCTGCTGGTCACACAGAGTAGAATAAACACGGACGCGTCTTGCTGGGTGGGAGAAACAGCGGGGCCTCTAGGGTTACGGTGCGTGAACCTGACTTGGATGAGCATCGTCTGAGCTTCTGGGACGAAGAGACACCTCATTCATTCATGCAAATGACAGGCCAGGAGGAGGTTCGACTTGGAAACCCATCAGCCAGCCTTGGACGTGTGGCTCCGTTGGCTCGAGCATCGTCCCATGCGCCCAGTAGGTTGCGGGTTCGATCCCTGGTCAGGGCACATGCCTGGGTAGTGGGTTCGACCCCTAGTTGGGGGTGCGTACGGGAGGTCACCAGTGGGTGTCTCTCCCTCACTCTGTCTCTCTCGCTCTCTCATGACAGAGAGTCAGAGAGCAAGAGGCAGGGGGTCTCAGGAAAGGATGAGGGTGGGGAGCAGAGCTGGGGCCGGGCTGGGGTGTCACCCAGCCCCACACTAAGGAGGCTGACGTTGCTCCGTGGGAATGTGGGCACCGCTGAACGGTTTCAGGTTGGGCAGCGGCCGTTAGGTCGTCTGCGGTGGCAGGGCTTTCCGGCACCTGGGATGGAGGGGAGGAGACAGGCTGCCGGGGTTGTGGGGGGCCTGTGCATACAAGACCAAGACGTTCGGGAAGCCGGGCAGCATGCAGTGCCCAAAGATGGCCAGCAGGTGGCGCTCCAACACCGCGTTTATCCTGCTTCCGGCTGGGCTCATGTTGGCGGTGTTTCTTACTGTTTTTTATTTTGGTGGTTTTGTTTTTCACGCTAGCTGGAATTTTGCGACTGCCTCCTACCCTTCCACCCTGCACCCACCTATCTTGCTTCCAACGTCACTCGGAGT